TGAATGAATGAAAATAGTAAGAAAAAGTCATATCTCCTCAACCACTCCACCAAATCCGACGATCTTGAGCTCGTCAGAACCACCTCCACAGTCTCTACAACTCCTACTATTACCACGACTCACCAATCCTAGTCCCTGATGCAGTAGGGGGTGAAATGTGTGATGCATGGACTTGTCCCCACAACATCGACAATGCTGTCATCAAGATCTGGGTGCATATGTTCCAGGAGAAACTCTAAGTGGGCATTGCCTACAAACTACTATTATAGCCTCCTGCAATGAGTGTGCCCCATTTGCATACATTCTTCATATGTAGAACATTAAATTTAAATTTCTTTAGTATGCTTGTTTTCCCTACCCTGTCTGCAATTTAATATCGCAAGGGAGGAGGATGTGAAGCCCTGGCCCATGTCTATATTCTGCTCACAACATCAATTGATGTTGTGTTGTCTAATAATTATGTTGTGACACTAATTTAGTGTTGGGATGCTTCTCTATTTATTTGTGCCGAGAGTGTATTAAATTGTATATAAACCCTTGGGGTATGTCATATCCATACAATCCTGACCTCCACTCCGGGCTCCCGGAACTCTGAAACTGACTCCAGAGCCCCACTTCCCTTCCATCACCTTCTCCTTGCTGACTCCCAAGAGGTTATCCCACCTCCGGCTCTGGCACCACCTTCGGTCTAACTCCAGACCATTCTGGGTCTGACTTCAACCCTGACACCTTCCAGACGAGCATGCAACACCTATGCTCCTGACTCTGGACCTCCACTCCAGAATCCTGTTTGCATCTCTGTCTTGGAACTCTGGTCTTAGCTCTGACCTCAGACTTTGACCCCACCTCCACTTATACCCATTGGATTGGTTAGCCCATTCCATTTATTTACCTTTGCCAATATTCTGGAGTTTAACTTCCAAGTTCAGACTTTCTGGACTTACTTTGGACCTTGCAACTATTGCATTGTCCCATTCATCTCCGCTATTCTCCTTCATTCCTATTTGGGCTGCTGCTTCTTTCTATTCAGTCAGCTAGCCATTCCCCACTCCTATCCTCCTTCCTCCTTGGGCCTTGGTGTCAGGGATGCATCTGGGGTCGAGGCGGTCTGGGCGTAGCATCTGGTGCTGAGGACCTCATGGGGGGTAGATCAGGCATGTGTACTGGCAGGCCTGATGCAGGACAGCAATCCCTGGCCACTTAGACTGAAGTGGGAATGTTGAGAAGAAGGTTACTTCTTTGGTTCCCACCCCAGGTGTGTTTATATACATGTGGCTTGGGTCACATGAGGTCTGCCACATCACCCCACATACAGCTGCAGTCACCTGGGTGTCCCTGCAGGGGATCCTGAGGGCGTATGCTGCACGTGCACACACTAGGTTGTGCCCTAGAGCCATCTAGGGCATCTGGGGCTAGGCATGTCGTGTGTGCGTCGCGGGTGGTGAAGGAGTGGAGCTGGATCACCTTATGTAACCAGTTTCCTACGTCCAATAATGATATTAGAGTTTGTGCTGATTTGCTAACTGACCGTGTTTTGGTTGCCAAATATATAATTGTTCACTGTCTAAACAACAATAAACACCCCCAATGATCTCACCTGACATATAGATCGTCTACGGATAAAATTCTATATTGACTTTACTATGATTTCTAGTCAATATTACACCTAGATATACCACTTTTCAGTAGGGATTTTCCTGGTAATTTACTGAAGGAAATCTACTAATAAAATAATTCTGCAATAAATGTTACTCAATACAGGAGTGACCAAACTGCTCTTTCTATCACTTAGAGTGCATGCTAGTTATCTAGCAGGTTCAGGATCGCTCACTTTTCTCCTGTGGTGTGATAACCAAATATTACTGAGAGATTATTTAATTAAGAAGTCCCTCCACCAAATTCTCACTAATTCTCACTATGACACTTTTCTTTAGCTGTGTCTAACTGACTCTAACTCACGCTTAGAGTGATGTGTTAGTTTTATATTAGCTCGAGGGGAAGGATCCAACGGACATTTTTCCGATTTTCTTAAGCCATTTCTTGCAGCTGGGACAAAGAAGATCATGAAAAAATCGAGGGAATAAGGCAAGCAAGTCCAGAAAATCTCATGGCCCATATCTCCATTGCATCCCAACCATTCGATGTGAGACCGACAGCGTTTGAAAGCCCCCAGGTGGGCAAATCCAACACCACCTGTGTTGTTCCAAATGGTGGAGATCTGGTGGAGACATGATGGGAGTGCATCGGGTTGTTCCAGCCAGCAACAGAATGAAACACTGATGGCAGCAGCAGTTGTTAGAACTAGCGGATTCAGACAACTCCGGAATGGAATCGGAGACTTAGCGTGGAAGGACCTCGGCCTCAGCGACTCAGGCGGAGCGCTGTGCCATTGCTGGTTGTCCTGGGGGTCCCCAGAGGGGAAGTCTCTTGGGGGAATTCAAGTCGATTTCGGACTCAGGTTACAAGTTACTAGGTACATTGTATATAAGGAGGGGTCCGGAATCAAAAGGAACAAGGGTAGGACGAAAGGAGACAAAGGGAGATGGAAAGAGGAACAACACCGAGGGTCAAGTGTTTGACTCAATGGTGTTTCCCAAAGGAGGAATGAAGGGCCAAGGCCCAAGGAGGAAGGAAGGAGGTTGGGAGTGGGGAATGGCTAGCTGACTGAATAGAAAGGAAGCAGCAGCCCAAATAGGAATGAGGGAGAATAGCGGAATTGAAATGGACAATGCAATAGTTGCAAGGTCCGGAGTAAGTCCGGAAAGTCCGAACTTGGAGGTTAAACTCCGGAATATTGGCAAACATAATTAAATGGAATGAGCTAACCAATACAATGGGTATAAGCGGAGGTGGGGTCAAAGTCCGAGGTCGGAGCTAAGACTGGAGGTTCTGGAGATGGAGACGCGAACAGGATTCCAGAGCGGAGGTCCGGAGTCAGGAGCATAGGTTTTGCATACTCGTCTGGAAGGTGTCGAGGTTGGGGTCGGACCCAGAATGTTCTGGAGTCGGACTGAAGGTGGTGTCCGAGCTGGAGGTGGGATAACCTCTTGGGAGTCGGCAAGGAGAAGGTGACGGAAGGGAAGTAGGGCTCCGGAAGTCAGGTTCGGAGTTCCGGGAGCCTGGAGCAGAGGTCGGGATTGTATGGATATGACAGCAGTACTGTATACTGCAAGCAATCCAGATGGATGCTGGGTGCCCATGGGGTGGGGTGGGATGGACAGATGAGGACCACAACGTGATGACTGGGTGACGTGAATGAATGAATGAATGAAATGATCAAAATATATATATGTATCCAAACCAACCAGGCTCACCAAACCAAAGCACAAAGCACACCGAAATCCAAGCGTAAAACTGTGACACTCCAGGCCCAACCACACATACACACGTTCACAAACGATGGAAGGACATGGATGGATGCAAAAAGCGACACCCCCTTCCCAATCAGGATGACTGAATGCGCACACCCTCAGGTTTGGATCTGGAGTGCTAAATCCCAGGATCACCTAGTACTCAAGACTCAGTCAATGTAAAGAGGTGTCTGGGGTGTACCAGCCATCCTACCGTCTTAGATAGTAGATAAGCGTCTGAGTAACTGCACTGGTGCACTGGTGCAATGGGTGAAAATAAATGAGGAATAAGTTTTTATGGAGGGGTGTTAGACACTGGTCTGGGGTCGGCACCAAGGGTCACCATTGCAGGCTGCTATAGGCCACAATGGCTGTGATGCTGCAAACAAGGCCCAAGGGTAGGGCATTTGGCCTCAGCGACTCTAAAGGAGCGCTGTGCCCCCTAGCTGTCTCTTGGCCCTCATTTCAGACTTACTGGGGTTGCCTTGTTGGGGTCAGGACTTAGAGGGTCATGGTCAAATTGATATTAGAGCTAAGGTACAATAAAGTATCATACAGGATATATATAGGGAGAAAGAATGAATGGAAGTGGACCTGGGCCGAAGGCCAAGGGGTCCGGAAGCAAAAGGGAACAAGGAGTGGGGTTGGCCGCACAGTGGCCAGCAATGACCAAGGGTGTCAGGGCATACACCCTGACCTAGCCCATACCTGCATCCACACCTGCACTCGCACCCACACCTGTGACTGCACCCAGCTGTTGCACTTCCCATGCGCACCCTGTGCCGGACGCTCAGTGGGGCTGGATGGCCCAGACCTCGGGTCTCGGGTCTCATGTGACTTCTGGATATCTCCGGAAGTTTTCGATGTATTGTGGCCACTGTGGGAAGATGAGAAGTTAACTTCCTTCTCATCTCTGACCCACAGTAGGTTGTGCCCTGGACAGGGCTGGTTACACCTGCAACTGTGGACCATAGGGGAGGGTCATGGGGACCCAGGAGTCGTCCCCTGACAGAGGGTCAAAACAAACAATAACAGATAAATAAAGGAAGGAGCATAGGGCCACAATAGCGGTGATGGTATCGTAGCAGCGTTGGACTTGGAGTTGGACCGGAGTCGGGCACGGGAATGGTAGTGGCCCTGTAGGGGCCAAGTGGGCGGGGTAGAGGAGTCGTGCTCGGCATGGTGCTGGAGGCAGACTCAGGGTGGGAAGGTTGGTGTGGCTGTGGGGGAGTTGGCCAGGTGCAGGGGAGCCTAGGGGCAAGTGGGGGAGTGAGCAGGGAGTCCTCATGGAGGATAGGGCTAAGGTCAGGGCTTGCACTCACGCTTGCGTAGCAGGAATGGGCTCGGGCAGCATTGGGATGGGCCGCTAACAGGCTGGAATGCACGGCCGTGACAAGGGCCCCAGAAGCTCTGGGGTGCCTGTGGCCAGTTTTCTCAATTACAATGCTTTATGCAACACTTCATCAGCATTGCTACATCGAATGAATTGTCAGCATCGACTTCTGATGCTTTGTCATCGCCGCCATCGCCATTGACACTGCCAAAGTCGTTCTCTCCCATTTTTGCTCACTTTTTTCTTGTACTAGCATGTTTTTTTCTTGCCTCTTCACTGCCATTATGGTCCAACTCCCCATCAATATATAACAATTGTTAAACAGACTCTAAGTCCATAGCTTCTAGCGTGTTCACGATTCTTCCAATGACATGATGATAATCATCGTTATTGCCATCAACATCTTGATTCTCATCCTCCCAGTCAACAGCATGAAGGTCCTGTGATGCACCTGATACTGTGTCTTGAAAGTCATCTCCCAGTGTTATAAGGTCTTGGGCATTTGTTGGAATACTGTCTGGCAGGGTGGAGTTAGGTACTGCTACATTAGTTATGCTAAGGAAGTGCTGCAATATGAATAAAATGAGAATTCAACTTACTGCTAGGGGTTGAGGCATGAGTCTGGGCTGTGTCTGCTGTGGCACCAGGATCTCCCACATTATGAGTGGTGGGAAGAGGCATGCCAGTGCCACCTTGCTTCTCCAGGAGTTTCAGCTTGGAACGAAGGTGGCCATTCACATTGAGTCGGTATTCAGAAACGAGTACGATGTACTTGGATAGGTCAGGATACGTAAACTGAGTAGCCTTGATGATTTAATCCAGGTGGGCCTCCTCCTCACTCATAAATGCCCATATCCGATGAGCTTCAGTGCTGACAATCTCGATCTCTTCACGGGCACATTGAAGGTTATGCCAGGCACGTGTTGCTTCACAGAAGTGGTGTTTGAACCATGGTTTCTCCCTGACATCTTCTTGGCCACATACAGTGCCCCAAAAAACCATTGCAATGTTTTTCACCTTTGACTTCAAGAGCTTATTAAACAATGGGAAAGGGTTCTAAAATTTCAAATAAATATGTGAAACTTGTGTTAGTATCTTGTCCATAACTCTAACAATTTCATAAGCAATATGTCCAATTTTGGTAAAGTTATCTAATTCACAAGGGACCCATGTCATTGCAACAGTTTTTTGGTGTGCTGCCGGAATGGATCAAAACTGGAAATATCATCTGATAGGTCATGTGATATTGTTTAGTATACACACTAGTAAACAAATAAACATTGCTGGAGCATAAATACACATGAATTTTAAGCTGTAATCCCCAATTCTAAAATGTGTCAATTGGCTACTTTGAAAATTGAACAAGTGCTTTCTCTCATTGATTCTGGCCACAGTGCTTGCCAGATCTCATCAATTACTGCTGTCCACCATTCCACTGTTACCCATCTTTGGTCTAAACATCATCCTGACACTCCTAAGCCCAGTGGTGGTTGCCCATCTAAGCTCTCAGACACCAATATCTGTCATGCAATGCATCTTATCAACTCTGGTAAAGCCAACAATGCTGCACAAGTCACCCAAATTCTTCAAAAAGTCACCAGCACCAGCCTCTCAACTGAGGCTGTTTGTCTGCAACTAAAGGAGGCTGGTTGGAAAGCAGTGGTGAAGAAGCAGCTGTCAGGGGATGGACCCCAGGTCCCCATGACCCCTCTCTCCGTAGCCCACAGCCCTGTGTGTGAACAGCCTATCCTAAGGCACAACCTACTGTGGGTAAGAAAGTGAATAAGACAAAGGCAAGTAATGTACACTTGCCTACTGTGGGTAAGTGAGAAGAAGGTTAACTCCTCACTTTCCCACAGTGGCCCAATATGGCAAAAACTTCCAGGGATACCCAGAAGCCACATGAAGGTAGGATCTGGGGACCAGAGCATGCAGTGCAGGAAACGCGTGTGGGAAGTGGAGCGGGTCCGGACACGGGTCTGGGTCCGGGCTAAGTCAGGGTATGTGCCCTGACAGCAGCCCATGCTCAGCAGACATCATAAGATGGAGAGAATGGACTTTGCAATCAGCCACAAAGAGTGGACTCTGGAGGATTGGAAGAGAGTGGTGTGGTCTGGTGAGACTAAGGTGAATCGCCTGGGCTCAGATGGGAGGAAATGTGTGTGGAAATGGGTGGATGAACCTCTTACAGACAGGCTGGTGCTGTAATAACTGCACAGTGCTAGTTAGGTATGAGTAGTGATGGACGGACTTGCCTGCACAGCGTGATACCTCAATTAGTGAGGTATCAGCTGCTAGTGCAAGTCTGGTCCTTATATACATCTTGTAATGACTCTATGCCACTGAGGTGAAACATGAGTGGTAAACAACAAGTTGAAAACAAAAGTGCAAAGACAAAGAGTCAAAGAGGTTGCTGCCATTCGTGCCTCAAAGTGCCCCTCCCCTTCCCAAAGCATGAATGTCTGGCCTGGGTGACTCCCTTGACCACCAGTGGTGTTGGGCTGCAACTTCTAACAGGTGCAAGGAACAAAAAAGTTTGGTGGTGGTTTTGTCATGGTTTGGGGATGTATGACATCAGATGGAGTTGGAATGGCATGCAAGATTGATGGGGAGATGGGTGCAGAGCTCTACCACCAAATCTTGGAAGAGGACTTCCAGAAAACCCTCTCATATTATGACAAAAACCCAGCCCACATCCTCTTTCAACAGGACAATGACCCAAAACACACCAGCAAAAGGGCCCAGAACTGGTTCAATAACCATGGTATCAGGGTCATGGAGTGGCCCTCCCAGTCCCCAGACCTCAATCCAATCAAACATTTATGGAATCATGTAAAGAGGAAGCTTGGGGAGTATGAAGAACCTCCAAGTAGTGTTCATGAGCTGTGGGATCAGTTTCAGGAGGAGTGGGAGAGGATAAGACCAAGTATCTGCCAGAATTTAATTGAGAGTATGGCTAGGAGGATTGAGGCACTACTTAGGGCAAAAGGTGGCTATACTAAATACTAGTTAATGTGATTTTCCTTTCTCCAAAATGCACACCAAAAAACTGTTGCAATGACATGGGTCCTTTGTAAAGTAAATAACTTTACCAAAAATGGACACATTTATTAGAGAATTGGTGGAGCTATTAATGAGCTACTAGCGCATTATTTTCATATTTTTATACAATTTTAGGATTCCTTCCCAGGGTGCAATAGGGTTATAAGGTGGAAGGTGGAAAACATTGCAATGGTTTTTTGGGGCACTGTAACAGAATGATGTCAGACAGGAAGTTGAGGTCCATGACATCTTGCCATGTAAGTGCTGGTTTGGGAGGATCCATAGAAGTGGCCAAGTTGTTGTACTTTTGGAGTACTGAATCCAATGACTTCCCTCGCTTGGCCACCAATGTGGAAATTTGCTGTTGAGCCTTATAGTCTACATGAATGAATGAGGCAAAATGTAATCTGAGTAACATAGTCCTCACCTGTTTTTGGCAAACTGATCTTCTCAAGTTCCAGTTGGCGTGATATGGCTCGCTGCTCAAGTTCATCAAGAACTTGATGGTAGTCCCATCATTGGCACAAAACCAAAGCTTCCCAGTGCTGAAGGGAATCGGGTGTCCAAGGAGTGGTGAGTGACGACCTAGCCTCTATTGCCAAGGCAGCTAGACAGGCAGTGTTGAGAGTTTCGTTTGCCTGAGCCAGGTGCTGGCCAATATGTGGCATCGCAGCCTGCATTGTCCAGTAATGCATGGTTGCCCTAAAATAGAACACCTTCAAGGCTACATAATAAATAGAGGTTAACAACCACTTACTCAGCATGCTCGACATGTTCAATGGCTTCCAAATACTCAATCTTGATTTTTTTGTTGCCAGGTTGGGATTGAAGGGACAAAATATAATCATGCTCCTCAGATAACCACTGTGGGCAGTCTTGGTCAGGGTCAAAGTTGGGGGATAGCTGCTGAGTGGCATTGAGGGTTTTTTAACTATCACTAATGATCCTGCTGGCAGATTTGAAGTTGCTTAACAGGAAATCGCCTATCAAAGTACAACATCATGAATGATTAGAACATATATGTAGTAAAAGAGATGCACCTAGTTTTTCATATTTGGTTTTGTCCCATTTGGAGAAATGGATATGGATTCGAAGGTGGCAGTAATAAGGAGATGCACGATGAATGACAGGGGCAAGATGTCAGGGCATGGACAGTTATCCAGCCGGCCTGGACCCCTATCTGGATAGGTTGAGTACCCGTAAGTCGATATCTGCGTGTGATTTGCTGTAGTTAGAATGCAGGCTGTATTCAATGCGCTATTTCCACTATCGCGTCATCCCTCACCCGTTATCGCCCCCTTATCTGCATGATCTATTCTCCTATTTCATGTTGCTTCTCTATCGGCTACCATGTGTTCCCAATGTAGCCATGCTCTTATGAGTTGTGGAACTCATGTATATAAGGCCTTATCACCAGCTGGGTTGGCCCCCCAGCTTTTACAACGACTAGTTTCCCAGGGAGATCCTTACGTGCAAACTGACGCACGGACTCTGACACAAGAGCATTGCTCTCTGAAAAGACTGTCATGACCGACAAATCCCGGGGCCCCATCAGTGGTGAATCAATGCCGATAGGTGAATCTGCCGACTGTCATATCCATCCATGGCCATCGACTTCCACTACCTCCAATCTCTCTGGACTACCTCCACTCCTTCTTCACTAACCTTGGAGTTCCCATATTCTGCAATCACCTCGGTATCCCTCGATGGTCACCACCCCCTTTTTTCAATTTATTACCTATGCCTCCCTAAGTACGGAGCCCTGAAGGCTTCCAGAAAGCTCCAACATCTGCTAGCGCACTCCCGCCTCCGCTGGGCAATACACTCGCTTGCCCTGCAAGCCCTCCTTTGGGCCTATCCCTCCTTTCCATTTCTGGGTTATCACCTACCATTCCACTAACCCTGTAACCCGACTTGTCAGTAATATTCAATCAGCTAATGTTTAACCCTGTTAGCTCCACTCCGCTCGGCCCCGTCGTTTACGGGCCCACCCCGCTGTAACTATATATACCTGACTTGTAAATAGGTTACACCCCAGTAATAAAATTGACTAGAGTTTACCCCCTTCAGTTCTGGTTGCCAGTTAGTAAGTTAGGGCATGGATGTGTTACTTGGCACAGCGCTCCTGGCATAAGTCGCTGAGGCTGAAGCCCTCCGCCATGGAGACATTCCTTCGTCTCGACCTGGTCTCTGACACCGACCCAAAACCCAATCCAACCAGCCCTCAATCTGATGTCTGGCCCCCTGCCCTATCAAGTGAGACTTTGCCAACAATCAGACTTTAGACCCTGCTGGCATTCCGACTTCATCCAGTCCCTCTGGTTCCTCCTAGGCCTATAGCACAACTCAGTCTCACATCCCTGCCTCTGCATCCTCTGCATATTTTGCATCTTCCATATTCCGTGCGTCTTTCACATCCGGACCTCTGCCCACCTCTGCACCCCTGCCACTCCTGATTGACTTCCACACCCTGTAGTCAGGTCAACACACCCCTCCGTACCTTTGGTGGCCATCATGCTGTCCTCATTTGTGACAGCACTGACAGACCACCCTCTGTTGCGGACTTATCAGCGCCGCGCTGATTCCTGCATCCCATTTTGCGGACTTCTGTCGGTGCCACACGCCGACCCTGCTTTTCCTTTGCCCTTTTGCCGCTCGGCAGCATTCATTCATTCCTTGCCAAGTACCTATTATGTTCACCCATTTCATTCGCTTAACTTGCCAATATTGGCACTTGATCCGTGTGCTATTGCACTTTCCTATTCATTCATTTAATCTGTCAATATTGGTACTTGATCCACTTTGACTTTATTCATTCCTTGCCTCCCATTTCCTGGGTTCTCATCCTTGGTTTAGTTTGACAAGTCCCTGCTCATTTCCGCTTATTTCCACACTGGACTGACTGGTCCCTCTTTTGATTTCTCTTATCTACTTATACCTTGTAAATACTTTTGGGGACC